TGAATAAATAATAAAATAAAAGGTAGTTTGCGGGTAAATCATTTTTGTCCGAGAATTCTTATCCGTCTTGAGCATACGTACACTAAGTAACCCCTTGGCACTTTACTCAGCCTTGATTCTATTTCGGAAGGAATTCTTTCATTCCCTGCTCTTACTACTCAAACTAAATCCACCTCATCACGTCGTCGTTTTTGTCGTCGAAATCGTCGGCGTTGTTGTTGTATGTGTACGCTGCTGATAACATGTTTAAATCTTCACTCACTTTACCTTTTTTATGCGTGTACATATATATTAAGAGAAGAAAATGAAGAAGTAATATGGAAGAAAAATAGTATAAAAAGTTCCTTTGAAGATCCGTAGGGGAGAAGACGATTTCGACATCGTGTCATTTTATATCAAATGCTTTCCGTATGTCGCGTGCAATTTAACTAACTTTATGCAATAAAACAAAATTACATCTTTTTTTACTCACTTTTTAACAACTTTAGTCGAAATAAATTTACATATTTTAGTAAAACGTATGATACCAGAATATATGTCGCGGTCGCTTAAATTTTTATTTTTTTGGGTGTCTAATAATGAAATTAAATTATAATTAATAAAAATCATTTGAATTTTCCTATAATATACGACACTTTAATATTTTTTATAAGTGTGATATCTGAAATTTCAGAATAAATTTTTTAATTTAAATCAAAAGTATTGGGAGGTCAAACTTTTTTTGACCATTGTTGTATTTTCTACAGTTGTCGCATCCAATTTCATTAATTATTTTTCAACGGTTTCCAATCATCGTCCATTTGTTTTAATAGTGTAATTAACAAGTAAAAAAATTTTTTGACCTCTGTCGTAATCTATATTATTAAGAGAATAAGTAAAATTTTGTGGCCAGTTCATTTATATAATAAAATGGGTTTTTATGATAAAATTTGGTATCGAAAAAGTCTTGACCTGTTGTGCCGTTTCACGGTTTCATATCATTCTCACCAATGGTCAGTTCATGATGATAAGTATTCAGGCTTGGTTCGAAAGTGCTCTATCTTTAGATACATAATTAAGAAATGACCTTGTATCTTGTGAACTATTGACGTTTTTGAAGATATAAGCTTATCCCGATGTTACACTCATCAAGACCTTGCATTTAAGTACCCACATCAATTTTTCATATATTTATATATATTATATATATGTATATATGAAAAATATATCAAAATACATGTGGGTACTCAAATGAAAGGTCTTAATGAGTGTAACATCGGGATGAGCTTATATCTTTAAAAATTTTAATAGTTAAGAAAGTACAGTGCAATTTAACATAATTAAGGAATGAATGACCTTGTATCTTGTGAACGATTGACATTTTCAAAGATATAAGCTCATTCCGTTGTTGCACTCATCAAGACCTTTTATTTAAATACCCACACCAATTTTTCATATATTTATATATATTATATATATGTATATATAAAAAATATATCAAAATGCATGTGGGTACTCAAATGAAAGCTCTTGATGAGTGTAACATCGGGATGAGCTTATATCTTTAAAAACGTCAATAGTTAAAAAACTAGTGCAATTTAACAAAAGTCATTATTTAATAATGCAAAATTTTATTTATTTATAGTTTACAAGCCACGGCAGTCACATAGTGACTGCAGGTTGATAGTTTCTATTGTTTTTGCTTTCCATTTTGAAAATAATATTTTTAATAATTCCGTTAATTTCACTGTAAAACGATCGACTGTAATTAAATCTGAGATAAATAAATACATGCTTAAAAATTTTTAAAGTTCATATTATTGACAGAAAATGAAGATAATTTTTTTAAAATTCATTATAATTTATTATAAGCTGACATTTATTTCAAAATATCAATTTAATGGGTGAATATTTCATTATAAATTCCACATTTATTTTACTAGGGTTGAGTTTATTAACCAGCAATTAAACCCACAGTCCAAAGTTCGAATCCCAGTAAGGATAAAAAATTTAACCTTAAATCTTAATGTTTATTTCGTCAATTATTTGAAAACATTTGAATAAACTCTAAAAAGATTAAAATATAAATAAATGAAATGACGAAAAAAATAAAGCGAATTCTGTGAGAATATTCAGAATAACATAAGGTAAAAAGTATGAAAATAAAAAAAAAATATGAGTCGCTGGTAGTAAATATACGGATATTTAAGCTGGTAACCTTGAAGAAAGTAAATAACATTCCAGAGCGTTTGAATAATAAGAAGGAAGCGGGTTAGAGGTGGCGCTGAATTCGGAGCCGGCGTTGCGTGATCGACTTTGACGAGGGACTTTTGAAGGTTGGACTTTTATACACCACTCGCACACTTACTCACTTACATCACATACTCACATACTCACATATGTGAATAAAATCTAGCATAATGGGTGTAAATCCGTATGCATGTGCCGGCTTCCGCGGATCCGTTACGGAGCATAACAAAGAAACGACAAAGAGAAGAAGTATCGTGAAGATAGAGACGAAGAACGAATGGGTCGTATGCCCAGAAACGGAACAGCTGAAAGGCCCCGAATCGGTCGTAAACAGGATGGAGTAGGGGCCCGATCCCTTCAAGGTGATTCTTGTTTGGTTCGACATCTTGGAGTGGATTTCGACCTTATTAGGGAACTGGACTGTATAGCGGATATTTACATAAATATACGAGGATTTTAAGAGCATGTTCATCTTAATATGACTAAGTCTGACTTGCTAGATAATTCAATTAGATAAATCATTAAGATAAGCTCATTTAAATGGATGTTTTTTTTAGCTCAAGTGTTATGAAATGTTATGGTTGGTTTTATTTTCTTTTTTATGAATTTTAAATTGATGTAAATGCTCCTTCATACACTGAAAAAAAAAAATTAGTTGGTTCAAGAAAAATAATTTCAATCTTGCTTTGAGGAGTTCAGTTCGAATTAATTTAAAAAATTCACTCGCGAATCAAGTAAATTAAATCAAAAAAAGTTCTTCATTGAAGAATTTTAACAATTTAACCCACCACTTTACTATTTTTAAACAAGATAAAAATATATTTGACCGAACAATTTATTTCCACGGTAATGTTTATTCAAGATATTACTGACTTGTTTCAACAAAATCAACAATCTTTCGACTTCTCTCATTTACTATCCTGTCAAAAATAAGTCTCAAATATCTTTCAGTATGGGTTTAAATAAAATGTTTGTTTTTTTTTTCTTTTCATTATTGTTGAAACAAAAGAATAGAAAATTGTCTGAGAAAATGAAATTTTTCTTAGTTTTGTAAAAACTCAGTTCAATCCGAGGTGGGACTCAGTTCAACGAAGATTGTCCCTACTACAATCTACATAGAAGTAATTACCATCTATACATTTTTTCACAATAGATGCAACTACGTTCCATCCGACATAGAAACCAGTTAAATGTTGATTTTTCCGTGTAAGTCATTAAATTTTCAGTTTATCAGCTAGCCACTCTAATACAACATTTTTTTTTCTCTAATTTTTCATAATATTGTTAGCCTGTATTTCCCTCCAGGCATAAACAATTTATCCTCAATTCATATCTAAATTTGTCCTTAAAGATAAATTTGACTGAAAAAATAATTCGGACGGCCCAGACCAGGACTCGAACTTGGATCTTTTGGGTACGCGCCAAAGGCTCTACCTGTTAAGCTATCCGCGACACTGTCCACAAAGCCTGGGGAGAAATACGGGCTAACAATATTACGAAAAATTAGAGAAAAAAAATGTTGTATTAGACTAGATAGCCTATAAACTAATAATTTAATGACTTACGTCAGAAAATATCTATAAAGTATCAAAACTAGTCTTTAGAAATAAAATAAGTATTAAAAGTATTCTTGAATCTTGAGTTGTCGAATTTTTTTTGCCAAAAAAATGAATTTCAAAATAAAAAATTTTTGAATTTATACTTTTTTTCTTGAATTAAATATTTTTTTGCATCAAGATAGTTTTTTTATCGTATAGCCGTAGATAAATCAAAGGAATCCATTAAAATTAATGAGCTCTACAATTCTGAAAGCGAACACACTTACGCTACCTAGCCATCTAGCGGCAGCCTGAAGCACTAAAAACTTCGAAAGATAACCTGTTTTCTTCAAAATAATTTTGTTTTTGAATCAACTAGTTTTTTTTCAGAGTATGAATGCCAAGATTATGCAGATTAGAAAACTTATTTGTTGACTGGTCATAGAATCTGAAAATCGCGATTTTGCCATCACATCTGTCGCGATTAGAGGATAGGAGGTCAGAAGAATGAGTCTTTTGAGGACTTTGATGTATAACAAGTTGGTTTAATATGTCTAGTATCGAGAATGGGACAGACAGACATTTATAAAGCAAACGGGATTTGGGTCACCAGTGACGATAAACGGAATAAAAAATATATATTAAGTTAAGATAGAAGAATAAGATAGATAGATGGTATGGGTTTATAAAGAGAACATAGAGGACTCGTTATTTTATTTTTTGGCTCTATAGTGATAGTTTTTTTACTTATTTATTCTTATTCGAAAAACCTTGAAGTCGCGCATGGATTCATTGGGGAGAATGGCATTTTGGCAGCACGTGTTCGGCCTTTTTTACTTTATTTTTGTGGAAGTATTATTATTATGGGATACGTCGAAAAGGTTATATAGGTATACACGTATATGAAGATGAAGAGGGAGAAGAAGATCTTTTAAAATATACATTATACGTATCCGGCAATATCGCGAATTTCATAACAGGAGATGTTGATCATAATAATAACATTCATTATATAAATATATATTCTTTTTTATTATTATGATTAATGATTAATGAGCTGGTATATAATCTTCTCATTATATCACTTGTTTAACAAAAAAAATATTTACGACAAAAATAGCTTACATTTCGCTAATTAAAAAATAAATAAAAGCCCAAGTGCCAGAATTTCAATCGGCAGTAAATATATCGAGATGTCTTTCTTTGTTCGGGAGCCAGCCCATAAATTTTTTCCTAGTAATTGAAAGAAAAAAGAAACATTTTAGCGTAGAAGGAAGAGGAAGTAAGAAATTTCTCGGAACCCCTCACTTCGCCTCCTCTTCTTTTTAATCCAAAAAATAAATAAAAAGGATGTGAAGAAAGCGATAAAATGGAATTCAATGATAAACTTTAAATATTTATTACTGTAGATGATTTATGAAATTTTTATTTCGACTATCGTTGAAATATATTCCGCGGGATTAATTGATTTTTTCTAGAACACAGTGTAGTATAATAATAAAAAAAAATAGACAAGAAATGAAGACGGAAAAAAATTTTCGATAGTATACCGCTTTATAATGCTTTACAAAATGAATTTTGTTAAAATAGTGACGTCTGTAAAGCTAAAGAGGTCAAGTCGGCAGAATCACTCGTTTTATATCTCAAAATTAAGTGCTCATTTAATGCTAATTTAGTGCTGATAACAGATATTTGGTGCTGTGATAGGGGGACTAAAAATGAGAACACTGCTAACTATTCATTAAGCTAGTAGTGTACCATTCGGGACCACGCTATGATACAGTTGGAGCGAGAGGCACATCAGCTAATAATTTAGTGCTCAATTAGTGCTGCCAATACAAGCAAACAAATTTTTCGAAAAAAAATTTTTTCAGTTTTTAAGTATAGATAACTGCTGACGTAATAATACGAGCAATCATAGAACTGAAAGATGACTTTAAAATCGGTATTGGTGAAATTGAAAAGAGTTACTAATTACCCATATAGCAATCTTTTATCTTGAGCAAATCTTGAGCAACTCATGGGTAAGTCTTTGTTGTGAGTTTCTGGTACAAAAAATGCGTCAGAAAGTTTTTCAATGCACCTTGCTTTAGACTTGTCTCATATTCTTGCACAAGATGTCTTGCGCTAGTTATATATAAATCTTGAACCATGTCTTTTTAAATAAACTTGAGCAAGACCCATATGTAGAAAAAGACACTAGCAACTAGGGGTTTTGCTCAAGACGCTGGCACCAAAATCTTGTTCAAGCACATGTTACTTGGGTATAGTGCTCAATTAATGCTACCGGTAAACCCAGAAAAATTTTTAGAAAAATCATTTTTCAACTGCCTGCTAAGAAAATCGAAAAGTTATGGGTATTATTCTGTTTTGCAAATATCGAGTTTTCATCAGATCTCAACGTTATGAGGTCACAGGAAACTACCCTAACTCCCCTCGCGATGTAGTCGCTGTGTGTGTGTGTGTGTATGTAAATCTCTTATAACTTTTGAATGGCTCGGCCGATCGGATCGAAATAGGTGGCATTCCAAAGAGTATCATTGCCATTAAATTTCAAAAAATCGTTTTTTTGGAACAAATTTTAAATGGCTTGACCGATCAATTCCAAAAACTAATCAGCTCTTAAGCTTAAAAAATCACGTCGATTGCCACCAGTCTCATCAAAATCGGTTAATTCGTTCGAGAGTTATCGAAAACGAAAAATTTCGAAAAAAGTGTTTTTTTCTCATAACTTTGACATTTCTTTTCGGATCGTTTTTGACGAAATAAAATAATTACTAGAGCCCAAAAAATCATGTCGATCGCCACCCAGAACGTGAAAATTGGTTGTTTGGTTCGTGAGTTATCGTTATCGAAAAAATTCGGAAAAAGTGAATTTGTCAAATTTCTCTAAGATTTTCGGTTCAATTAGTTTGTGTTCAAAAGTTTATCATAGATTCTGAAAAAGTGCGTGGAATACTGCCAAGTGTCAAGCTTGTTACATATGCAGACGATGTAGCTGTCGTAATCGTTGCGAAACACCTAGATGAGATAAACCACATGTTCGGTATCACCTTTGAGAAAGTTAACCGGTGGATGGATTCAATGAATCTACAACTGGCTAAACAGAAGACTGAGGATGTGCTTATTACCAGCAGAAAAGTGATAGAGACCATAAAACTGAAAGTCGGAGAACAAGAAATCACATCGCAACCATATATCCGATATCTGGGAGTGATGCTTGATGCCCGACTCAACTTTAAGCAGCAAGTCGAACACGTGAGTGCAAAAGCATCAGCAGTGGTAGCTAGCTTAGCACGACTGATGCCAAACGTTGGAGGCTCAAAGCAGAGCAGAAGACTACTACTATCATCTGTAGTCACATCAGTGCTCACTTACGGAATATCTATCTGGGCGGACGCACTAGAAAAGCAAGAATCATGGGGAAAGGCTGGACCAGTCTACCGTCTGAGTGCCTTAAGAGTAGCAAGTGCCTTTCGCACAATATCTATGGAAGCAGTGCGTGTCATTTCCGGAACTTTGCCTCTCAGAGTCTTAGCTGAGGAAAGACGGATCCTTTACCAACGAAAGAAGTCGACCACACTAAGCGCTGAGGAGCTTGGAACAGAAGAGCGGCAGAGGAGCATAAGTCGATGGCAACTACAGTGGGATGCCACAGTGAAGGGTAGGTGGACGCATCGTCTCATACCAAGGATCAACGTTTGGCTAAACCGGAGTCACGGTGAGGTCAACTATTATCTTACACAGATGTTATCAGGACACGGCTGTTTCCGGGCGTATTTCCACCGCTTCAAGCATGATAATTCCCCAGAGTGCCCGTCCTGCCCAGGAGTCAATGAAAATGCAGAGCACGTTTTCTTTGAGTGCCCACGTTTTTACCCACAGCGAGATGAGCTGGAGAATATCCTGAAGAGGAAAATCCAACCAGAGACAATAGTAGCAGCAATGCTGTCATCAGAGGCTGCCTGGAACGCCACAAACACGTTTGTCACGGGAGTTCTCTCAGATCTGCGGTCCATAGAAAGAAGAAGAGCAAATGACGCCAATTAGAAGGAGGAAAGAATAACACCTTAGCCACCAGAAGAAAGAGCAGTAGCTAGATCCTCTCCTCACGAAGTAATGCCTGACGGCGGTTTCCATGGGGGATCAGAGGATAGAAGAGAAAGGGGTTTTACGGTTTAGTGGGTAGGGGCACCAGCGTCGAGTTTTAGTATGACGCTGCGTCGAGTCGCCACATATCCAGGCCAAACAGCTATGCCTAGAATCCGTAAAAAGGATCCCCCCCCCCTAAGGGAAAAAAAAAACACACACACACACACATACATACATACATACAGACAGACACCACCGCGGGGGTAGTCAGGGAAGCTTCCTATGACCTTAAAACGTCGAGATCTGATGAAAACTCGATTTTTGCAAAACGGGGTGAAAACAATAACTTCCCGATTTTTGAAAATCTGAGATTTTTAGCGGGAAGTTGAAAATTAATTTTTTAAATATCCTTTGCTATACTGGCAGCACTAATTTAGCACTCAATGGTGACGTCTTTCAATTCCATTAGTTTCCGTTTTCGAGTCTTCTTCTCGCTCTTGAGACTGCTGGAGTCGTTATACTAGCAGTAGTTGCTTTGAAAAAAAATAAATAAAAATTTTTTTTTAACACACACACACACAGCGACTACATCGCGAGGGGAGTGAGGGTAGTTTCCTGTGACCTTATAACGTTGAGACCTGATAAAAACTCGATATTTGCAAAACAGAATAATACCCATAACTCTTCGATTTTTGAAAATCTTCGATTTTCTTAGCGGGCAGTTGAAAAATAATTCTTCTAAAAATTTTTCTGGGTTTACCGGTAGCATTAATTGAGCACTAATTAGTAACTCTTTTTAATTTCACCAATACCGATTTTAAAGTCATCTTTCAGCTCTATGATTGCTCGTATCGTTACGTCAGCAGTTATCTATACTTAAAAACTGAAAAAATTTTTTTTCGAAAAATTTGTTTGCTTGTACAGGCAGCACTAATCGAGCACTAAATTATTAGCTAATGTGCCTCTCGCTCCAACTGTATCATAGCGCTGTCACGAATGGTACACTGCTAGCTTAATGAATAGTTAACAGTGTTCTCATTTTTAGTCCCCCTATCACAGCACCAAATATCTGTTATCAACACTAAATTAGCACTAAATGAGCACTAAATTTTGATATATAAAACGAGTGATTCTACCGACTTGACCTTTTTAGCTTTCCAGACGTTTCAAAAACCTTGGAGATACGAATTTTTGAAAATTGCGAAAAAACAACGATCAGGTAATTTTCAAAAATTCATAACTCCTGATTAAATAATCATAATTTCATTTTGCAAGTTGCTATTTCTATCAGTTTTAAATGTAGTTTTCGAAAAAAAATTTTTTTTTTCACCATTTTTTTTTACATTTTAACTCAAATTTTGACTTTTTTTAAAGACCGACATTTTTAATTTTCTCGAAAAAAATATATTTTTCACTAGACTGTAAAACAAATTTTTTTAAGCCCTTAGTCAAATGGGGATTCAAATATCTTCGATTTTTTAAGCAACTTTTTAAAATTTTTTTTATCAAAAATTCGAGTTTTTTTGAAGATTTTTAAATTTTTCACCAAAATTTCAATGTAAATATGGACAAATAATATTTTCCTACTGTGCTAATGATTATTTAACAAAATAACATATCATTACAAGTTTAATTTCTTTTTGCTAAGTTTCAAATTTTAACAGATGTTTAAAACACAAATTTTTCCGTTTTCTTTCCTTTTTTTTCCTTCTCTCAAAATGCAAGTAGATTAAAATATTATTATTTTTGCTTTTTCTTTTATATGTAATATGATCTTGTAAAAGGACGTTAAATTTATTCTCTATATATAGTGACCTTGTTTTTGAGTATTCCTGTTGGGTCTTTATGTAAAGAAATAAATAAATAATATAATATATTTTTAATTAAAATTTGATCAGCATTATCAATAGTGAACTTCTGGATTTTCCAAACTTTTGTCTTCATTTTTTTATCCTAAACTTTTCAGCGGTGAAAAACGTATCTACTGTGTATCAATCGATTGTTCTCCATCCAAAATTCGCGTGTATAGTATTTCAAACCACTCGGAAATCTCAGTGATTTAGCTGCACAATTCGTTTTTATGGGTTTCCTTCTATTTCCTTTCTTCTTCAGCGTCTTTCTTCCTCATGAGAATGATCTCCTTATCTCAGAGCTCGAATTACTAAACCACCTATACATATACGGTCTAACCAAAATTCTGTTGTTAGGTTTTCCTCCAATATACCGTCCTCACTCTTACCGCGGTCTATATGTTTTTTATTTCCCGATCTTTGATTGTGTCTTTGCGAGATGCACGGTGATATTGTATTATACAGAGACATATAGTTGAGTGGAGTACCCATACCAAGTTGAGAATAAAGGAAAGGGCTCGGTGTGGTGTGTTGGTATTGCTTTTCAGGCCGGAGATTTCGTGAACGAGGAAACACGCGTCACTTATCCTCAAATTGTCCGTAGTCACGATTTATTGCCCAAAATTATATGTATTATGCTTGGTGTGCTAAGCTATTGCGTCAGGGATGTTTTATTAAGAATCGACTAACATCCGCAATTAATATAATCGCTTTTTTACTCATCTGTTTTATTTTTTCCAAAAATTTCTTACAAAGATAGAGTTAATTTCATTTCTTACAAGGTTAAAAAATTAAATTCTTTACAACGTAAAAAATAAATTTTATTTTTCTTTTTAGCGCATCAATTATTTTCTAACGTGAGCGATGAAAAAATTTACAAGATTAACATAAAATTAATTTTTGTAAAACATAGGAACTATTGCAACATAAAGTACTTATTTTTTACACGTAAAAATTAGTTCTTTTAATCAACTTATGATTGTTGATTTGCCAAAAATTTTTTATTTAGATCATAGAAATATTTTTGCATATGTTTACTGTCAAGAAACAAGTCATGCATTTTATAAAATTAATTTATAAGAAAAATTTATTTCTATTTTATTATTTTTGGGTCTATTTTATCTGAAATCTGCAATAGAAATTAAAAAAAAAAAAATTGTCACCTTTAAATATTAATATTAAGGACTCATATTTTCATTTTCAATGTTTATATATATTTTAAACTTTAACAAGAAGTAAAAAGAGAATACTTCAGTAGTAAAATTTTATTTTAACCCGGCATGGACTTCTACTTCATAAAAAGTTTCGTTTACGTAAATAACTTCTATTTCCCTTCGGAATATCAATTTCACGGAAATTTGCATTGCTCTGAACAAAAATAAAACTTTTTGATAAATTAACAATTTAAAATAATAAAAGCCAATTATGGGAATAGTATATTATTTTTCATTCCTAAATATTGATAAAAATCGGACAGAAAAAAGGAATGCATAGTGTCTAACCCTAGTGGCGACATTCTGAAACTTGACGCTTTTAGAATCATATGAGTTACAAAAGTAGTCAGTATTATCGATTGTCAGTTATGAGCGATCTATATATGGCGCT